CTATAGCTTTGTTTGCTTGGCATGATTGCTCTTGGATGCTTGTATGTTGTGGTGTTATCGAGTATAGACGGCGATCAATTCGTGGGAGATCAAGGGTACTACTTTGACGAGCAGGACCAGCAAGAGTACTTTGCTCAAGGTAAGTATAGCATGAAATCATCCTTGTTTCCTATTCACTTTAATTCATTAAATTCATGTTGCATGTGTCACCTTGATAGGGATTCCCTAAAATTGAACTTTTACCTTGTTACCTACGGGTTATGCATTGGGTAGCTTTGCTAGTGCTCAATTAAACCATGATCTTATAACTTGACTAATGATATATGCAATAAACATTAAAATATGACTTTTAGCAACTTAAAAACAGGGGGCTGGAGTATTTAACTACTTTCTAAATACTTCAGATTCCTCTCCCTAAGGACTTATCTGTAAGTAATTATTCGGGACTTACATTATAACTGTGAGGGCTACATGGCTCTGGCTTTAGCTCAGTATGAGGACCTTTTCTAGCTTGTTAGTGGTTATTTTTATTGGAGTAAGAAAGGCTTGACAAATCGGGTATAGTGCGGCCTCTGTCCCCTTGAGTATAGGCTGTGCATTATTGTGCCATCGGGAAGGGGCTCTATATCTGTTTGCTGAGTGAATCTAATGGTCATAACTTGTTAGACGAACCATTAAAAGGCTTCATAGTGACCCCTGCCTGCTCACCTTGGAAGTGTTTTGAAAGTTATAAACCCGGGCATATGGGTATCACGACTCAAAGTGAAAATGTATAACCTCTACAGAGTGTAAAACTGGTGTATCATCCGTGCTCACGGTCACGAGCGGCCTTGGAACCCTTATGGAATAGATGAACACTAAGTATTATCTGTTTATGCCATTTATTATTCATGTTTACATTGATCATGTGTTTTGCATTGGGAATGAAAACCATTTATTGCTACTCTTAAGCTAAAATTGTGACAACTAAAATCTGAACGCTGTTAAACCCGTGTCAAGCCTTTTGAGCCTCATGAACCCCATGTTATACTTGTTGAGTACGACCTGTACTTACGCTTGTTTATTTTCATTATTTGGATAAAAATCCCGGATGGGTAACAGATGGCTATGGTAATGACGATTTTTCTGAGGACTTCTAGACTTGTGGTCAACCAGTCGACGTCCCTGTGAAATGGAGCTTCCGCGAGAGATCTTTTCGTTATACTTCGGCTATATCTATGTGAAGACTCTGTCTTAATATTCGTGATGTAATAAACACTGACGATGATACTATTTATAATTTGTCAGCTTATATGTGTGACTAATCTCTAAACACACATAAGATTTTGCATCCCATTTTTTTTGTTAAAATCGGGTGTGACAGTGATATAGTCGGTCACGCCTGTATCGTTGTACCAATTTGTGTAGATATTATATGCATGGGACGACAAGGTGGACACGGCCGCAGCAACCAACGTAGGATCTGGAACATAATTTTCATCAAATTGATGCCAACACTTACCAGCCGTGTGGCCCTTTTTGAAACACAGTTGGCAAAGAGGACGATCGTCATCATCCAAATGCATTTGAACAAGCAAATTAAAGCGTAGCACAAACCTAGCAAATTTAAAACCAGTGTTATCTCCGGTCTGTACGTTTGAAGGAAGACATTAGGTTCTCCATCTGTGTTTGACTTGATGCCTTTAGTTAATACCTTATTTGTATGTACATTCTTTGCTTAAAATTAATACAAAAATCAGACTGTTGGGATCTCCCCACAGTCTTTTACCGTCAAAAAGTTCGTTGTGAATAGACAAAAATAATAGGACGTGCTGAAAAAGATCTGGTTCGGTTGCCGATGGCTGGCCAAGTCGTGCTGCCTCTGTTCATCAATGGAGAAAATAATGCAATTCAACTAAACCATTTTAAATTGTTGAAACTGCGGTGGATGTGGTGGAGACGTAGGCCTCACATCATCTGCAACAGCTGGATGGCATCGGAATAAATATTTTTCTTTTGTATATAAACAGGATTATGGATGTCAGGATGTGATGATTAATTGCGAGATTAGTAAATTAGCAGAGGAAGCTACGTGCAGCCTGCTATACGCACACTCTGTAACGTGGGCCCTGACCAAATGTGAGGGTGGGGCTGAGACCGGAGACACTGGACAGCGAAGGTGAGATGTATGGCCTGTTTGGTAGCCCTAGTTAAAAGCATTAGTTGTGACTTGTGGAGTCGATTTATTTTGAAAGCTGAAACTGTTTTTTAAATTTTTGACAAAGCAACTTCTCCTGTTAGTAAAAATGATGAAATACCCTTAATTTATGTTTTTTTCCTTTCCTTTTTCTTTTCCTTCCTACCTTTTTCTATTTCTCTTTTTTTTTTCTTCTTTTCTTTCTCTTTATTTATTCTTTCTCCAATCTCCATCTTATCTCCACCGCACGGCTCGATCCCTGGCAAAGGTGCGAGCACCCCTTTCCACGCCGCGGCTTCGCACATCGACGCTGGCGTCTGCGAGTGCGACCCTCCACGGTTCCACGCGCCAGCGTCCGCTCGGCCCAGCGTCCCCTCCCCGCCCCACCTCCAACCCCTCACCGCGCCCCTCGCCTTCGTCCGCATTCGCCGTGCCTTCGCACGCCCGACGTTGGTGTCCGACCCTTTGCATGCCAGGCGTCGGAGCTAAAGATGGCAATGAGCAGGGCTGGTCCTGAGAGTTTTTAGACCTAGAACGAAACTAAAACTTTGGGCCTTTTTATATAAACACATAATACTACTACTAGTACTATTCATTGCTAGTATATATACACATATACGAAATGTAGTTATCTAAATGCAAAGATATTCATATAAAATATTTTATACACATATTAAATTACCTCAAAATTTTCTATTCGCTTAAAAAAGTTATGAAGAGACCCTCTTTGTGATTGTATCAAATCATCTATTGGCCTTTTCTTCTTTCTTTTACTTTCTTGATCGATAACATGGTACTATTCAAATTTAGAATAACAATTAGTCAAAGATTAAACAATTATATAAAGAGAAAATTCACTATTAGGGATCATAGTCACAGGACAGGGATTCGTACCCGGTTGCTGTCGCCCTTGCCCAATGCGGTAAGAGATCATGAGCGGACGCCTGTCGTCGGCAATTTTCCACTGCAACAAAGCAAGGAAAAGATTTTTATTCTTTGACAGCCACATAAGGCAAGGATTACATGAACAAATGCAGATCGGTGTGTGGTGCAGCGGTGATGCACCCAGTTGCAGAGTAGTAGGCCTAAGGGTACACAGATCCAGGCCTAGACCTGCACGATAAGGCAATAGAGTACTAGGCAACAGCCACTGCCGCCGCTGCCGATGGCGACTCACAGTAGAAGACGAAGTGTATAGTCGTGAGGACCGACGAGGAGACGAGTCACTGTGCCTGCACAGCGGCACCCTGCCGTCCTAGGTACGTATGGGCAGAGATACGCATCATACGCTGAATAGTACTACCTGGGGAGGGGCCCATTGGCTCTTTGGGCCTAGGATGGCTGCCCCTCTCACCCTGCCCCAGGGCCGGGCCTGGCAACGAGGACCTGCAACCCGATACCTGACGAGTATTTACTCCATTAGGATCTCTATAAATGAGGAAATCTTTCCCCGTGGATCTTTAAATGGGGAAAACCTTCACCCAACGGGTACAAGAACATCCTATAGTCCCCGTACCCGTTTACCCATGGGTAAAAAATACTCGAAAGTCCAAATACGCATCCAGGCCTAGTATCAAAAGAGCCCAACCCAATTAAGAAGAACCCTAGGTATTTAGGTCACTCCCTCACCCAATCCATCCATTTTCCTATAGATGTTAGGGTAGGTACATTGGTACACGTTAGCTGTCTCGTACCTCGTCTTATGCAGTGCCACGTATGATTTTTGCTTATGTGGAGGAAAGAGAGACGAGAGAGAGAAAGAGGTGTCGTTGTTTCGCGAAACAAACACTTCATGAGCTAAAATTTAGGACTATGAGACAACTATTCTTCCATTGTATGAGTTATTGTTGCCATGCAACTCACAACTTTATTTTTTATTCTATGCATAAATTAAGAAATTATGAGTTACTACGAGAACTTAAAAACAATCATGGTATATATTGTCTATTAAGTCATCTTAATATTATGTGGCACTGCATAAGACCACCAACGAGATAAGGCCGATATACTTGCCCTTAGGATTATGGATTTATGTAATGTCTTATCTACTGTTTACTTACTACTTAAGTACTACTTGATGTAAGGACTAAGGATTATGGATTTATGGTATTGTGCAACTAGTGCCTTGTCGTTGCTACAATTTCGTGTAAACTTTGTGTGTGTGTTCTTTTTATTGTCTTGTGCTTATTGCGGCTGTTGCAACTCAGACATCCTGTTCGCTTATCTTATAAGTCGTACTTTTTTCAGCGAATAAATAATATTTTTCTCTCACAACAGATTAGCTAACAGTACTTTCGGCCATTCTTATCAGCCAAACGAACGGGAAGATTGTATGAACTGTTGTCGGGTATATGGGTGACCCAGCAGGTGGGTTTTATACCCAGCCGGGTGCAGGTCTGGAGAATTTTCTTACGCACAACGGGTATGGGGATTTTGATGGGGTTGCATTTTGCTGGTGGAGATGGGTCTGGGGTACCAATTTCCGATGGGGATTTACCCATTGCGGGGACCGCATCTCCTGTCGGTGGCAGAGGGAGACGGACGGTCGGGGCCCGGTCCCGTTGGCGGTGGAGCCAGCTACGGGGGCGCCCTGCCGGGGAAGCCTCCTCGCGGTCGTCACAGGTTCCCGACGTAGCGAGCGCACGACGGCGCGACCTCGTCGCGGGCCTCCCGTGCCCCTCTCCTGGCCGCGCGCACCCGCCATGGCCATCCTCGCCCGATCCAATGGCCCAAAATTTGGTTGTTGGGAGCGGCAAAACAACCAGTTGCTCTTTAGTGTTTCTCTATATATACTACGCTGCTACTGCCTTAGAGTTCGCATGCAATGTCCGCCATGTCCTCCTGCCGGCAAAGTGTTGCCGAGCAAGATGCCGATGCCGGCGATGCGCAAGCGGAAGCCAACCTACAACTCTACAATCACTTCACCAACCTGGTCTCCTCCCTGCCGAGCCCGAATGGCCTGACCCACAGTCGGCTCTTCCTCCACGGCCAAGGCTGGCACGCCACCCAGGGGGCCATGGTCGGCTCCATGGTCGCCAGCGCCTGCTTCTCCGCGCGGCCCACAGACATTATGGTCGCCACCTTGCCCAAGTCTGGCACTACGTGGATCAAAGCACTCCTCTACGCCACCGTGCACCGGGGAGAGCACCCCCCGGACGCCGCCGACCACCCTTTCCACACCCTCGGCCCCCACGAGTGCATCCCGTTCTTGGAGTTACAGCTCTACAACTACAAGACCGGTCGCGTCCCGGATCTCGAAAAGCTTCCAGACCCAAGGCTCTTCGCCACGCACGTCCCGTTCGTGGCGCTGCCGAGGTCCGTCGTCGCCTCGCCGGGGCCGGGCTGCAAGGTAGTCTACGTGTGCCGCGACCCCAAGGACACATTCGTCTCGCTGTGGCACTTCATCAACAAGCTCAGGGCCAAGAAAGGGATGGAACCCCTCTCGGTCGAGTTCGCCGCCGAGCAGTTCTGCGCCGGCGTGTCGCCGCTGGGCCCGTACTGGGAGCACGTGCTCGGGTACTGGCCCGCGCACCTCGCGCGGCCCGAGCAGGTGCTCTTCTTCAGGTACGAGGAGATGCAGAGGGACCCTGCGGCGCACGTCCGGAGGCTTTCGGAATTCGTTGGCCTCCCCTTCGGCGCCGGCGAGGACGGCACCGCGGACGCCATCGTTAGGCTATGCGCGTTCGAGCGCATGAGCGAGCTGGGAGCGACCAAAGACGGCAAGACGGAGATGCTGGACAACGCGGTGGACAACAGCTTCTTCTTCCGGCGCGGCGTGGTCGGGGACTGGATGAACCATCTGTCTCCAGAGATAGCGCAGCGCATCGATGCCGTCACCCGCTCCAAGTTCCAGGGCTACGGCCTCATCAGCCTGTAGCCACCTTTTAATTTGTCACCAGCAGTGCGCACCAGTTTGTAATAAAGATCGAGTCATCATTTCTGTTCCCCGAAGTTATTTCGTGTTTCGCATGCACGTAAACTCTTCTTATATATATAGTGGGAGCATATGCCTTCACTAAGCATCTAAGATTTGCTCAAGGCTAATATGTAGTTTAGGTTTTTTTTTTTGGGAAACTACACACATAGAGATCAGATCAGGATCATGATTGATTATAGAAAAAAACAATGTGAGCAGTGATTTGCCCGGCTCTAGCTATATATGTGTTAGTTTAGGCTATATATATTGAAACAAAGTAAACGCTGAGTCGCTGACAATATCATGTATATATAGTAAGTTACTACTTGCCAGAATCGTAGAGATCAGACCAGGATCATGATTGATTATAGAAAAACAATGTGAGCTTGATTTGACCGGCTCTAGCAATATGTATTAGACCAGTACGTCTCGGTGTGAGTTTCACTAGAGTTTTATCTGCATTAAATAGATTGTCACATAGATATTTTTGATGTCGTGGTAATGCATATTTGGTATGATTACCAACTCTCTACGAGTCTTGAAATTCCTATAAATTATAGAATGAAACTTTTCATTGAGAATGAGTGTTTATCATCAAAGTTTTATTTCATTATGCATGACATAACAATCTTAGAAACAACGCTATGAAGCTATCCACTGAGACTCGCCTTAGGACAACCACAATGCAGAAGGTGGTTTCTATATTCTAGGATGGTGTGTTAAGAAACTATCCCCCACAATAAAACAATTCTATCATTGAGTCCAGATAAAAATTGCACAATCATATACCCTAAGTTCACCGGATCCTCTCCTCCACCATATGCTCCTGTTCTTCTTCCTCCGGGCTCTCCACCACACGGTGCTCTCCTTCCTCCTCAGGCAACAGATGTAGCCGTGGAGAGGAGCACGAGCTCAGCGGGTGGTGTCGAGTGAGAAGGGGACGCGAGCTCCGCGCACACCATCTTTGCGGGCAGCGGCGCCGGCCAGCCGCGCGCGAGCCTACACGGACATGGCGGGGTGAGGTGAGCTGGCGCGGGGACATGGCCGCCGAGCGGCCACGCGCTAGCCTGTGCGGGGACGCGAGCGCCGAGCGGCCGTGCACAAGTGGCACCGGCAGCCCGCGTAGACACGGCGCGGGGAGGGCCTGCGCGGACCAGCGGGCCAGCGAGGCGACATGGACCATTAAAATATCATGACCCACTAGCACATAATAGTCATCATGATTCATTAACACATAATGGTCATCATTGTAGGGTCGAGATTGCGGACTAGAGGGGGTGAATAGTCTTTTCTAAAAATAATTGTGTCGGCTAACCGAAATAAATACGGAATTAAAACTATCGGTCTAGCCAAGACTACACCCCTCTATCTAAGTTCTCAAGCACCTTAAAAAGATCCTATTTAGGCAACAAAGGTGTCGGGCTAGCTAGAGCTCACCTAAACAATTCTAGTAGTAAGGTCACACAAACCTATGTGTCGGTGTTTCATAAACCGGACTAGTAAATTTATATGATTGTTGCGCTGCTCTAGGAAGACGATGGTAGCATTCAGAAGACATGAGGATTTATACTGGTTCAGGCCGGAGCCCTACATCCAGTCTCAGAGATGATCGAGTGCGTGTTCCTCTCTTGAATGTTCTGAAGTTCTTACAATGGGGGTGCAAGAATGGTGGAAGAGGTAGGAGAGCTAGAGCTAGTAGATGAACTGCCTGAAAGGAAGCTTTAGGAGTTCGAATATTGTAAAGAATGTGAAGATGTTCCCGGAAGGGTGCCCAGGCTGCCCTTATATAGAGTTCGGGGCCAGGGCTTGTACAAAGAAGAAGGTTCTCCCGACCGAGGGGTCGTGAGCCTGAGGGAGGGGCCTAGATAACTTAGCTTACAAGCTACGCCGTCTTATGGTGCACATCTAGGCATGGTTGTCGTCATGGTCTTATGCCCACGTCGTGGTAAGGTGTGGCGTGGTGCTACTGTGCCGGCCGTGGTGGCACTGTAGGCACGGTGGTGGTTCGCGAGCCATCCTATACGACGTGGGTTCTGTCGTGGCCTTCGTCGTCGTCTCCTAATCCCCTAGGGGCGTCGTCCTAGAGTTGGTAGCTGCCCCCAGGTCGTCGGTCACCTTGTTTGCTTGTGGAGCCAGTAGCCATGATCCCGAGCCTCGGGGTTGTGGTTCCTACTGGCTTGATTGGCCTCTAAGTAAAGGCCTCCATCATGGATCCCATCCCGTAGTGGGTAGGATCGTAGATATGTCTTGTCAGACCATATTTAGACGGTGGGTCATCATAGTCGTCACCGTTTGCTGGTGTTGTCTTGTCCCTGCTGTGTGGCGTAGGGATGGCGTCTGACCAGACTGAGGTGAATGCTGTCCCCTTGGTCCTTGCGGGGTCAGTGCGGCATGCCCACTCTTGTCAGAGCAAGCGTGCTTGGTTGGTCTCGACCTTTCTCCATTCCTCCTAGGGGTTGGGATGGCGGAGAGGTCATGAACCCTTGTGCGGCGTGTGGCTAAGGCAAAAGGGAGGGTTGTGCTTACCCTGTCGTTGGCATCTAGCCTAGTCCGCTTGGCTTAACTAGGCCTTGATCGTTTGGGCCTTCGCTAGCTGATGTATCGTGGGTTGCTCGATCTGATAACTAATCGTTGCCTTGAGACACCTGGGGATCATAACCCCAACATTAGCCCCACGTTGAGATGTGTGTGTGTTGAGTGCAGGTTCGTAGTCGTGGCCTATTCGAGCTTTTCGTTGCTCTACCCCTTGCGGGCTAGTGTGTTGAATGTGGTAGGTGGCTGTTACATTTCGCCTGTCTGGATGCCCTGACGATGAGGTACGCGACTGATGAGCCCTGCCATGTCAATGTGCTGCGTATCGAGGTTCGTGGCCTAAGCAGGGTCGAACGGTCTTGTCGATGCTGTACCGGCCCTGCCTTTGGGAGGGTCTCAATTTCCCCAACCTTATGTGGGCATCTTACATTGGCCGTGACCTCCGGTGGTTCACCACGCGGCGTGGGTGTCTCAGGCTGCTCGGTCTGCCTTTGGTCCCATAAATGGATGCCTTCCTACCGTTTGAATTGAGCTACCTCCAATCTACATCTATGAATTGTTCTTTACTGAGTGAAGGGAAGAGGAAAAAGTGTGAGGAGAAACGTGCTATTCCCGTTATGTGTCCCGCTAGGGTTGTCTGCGGTGGATGGATGCCAGCGCTGCCCCTTCCAACAATTGGTGCTAGAAGGAGTTTTGTGAGCAGGGCAGGATGGGGTGGCATGGCTATCAGAACAGTAGCTTTGCGATCTCCTCGCCCTTCGGGGCCTTTCGGCTTGGATGTGCAAGGTGGTCCTTGCTGTGGGTAGTTCCATCATGTCGTCCCTATCCTTGTGAGATGGCGGCGCTACTACCATTCTCTCCCCTACGTCCTATGCTCCGGGAGCTATGATGTTGGGAGGAGGTTTGCGAGGTGCTCCTCTCCGTTGTGTTTGCTCGCAATGGCGGAGGGAAGTGTCCCATAAGCCTCCTAGCATCATAGCTTTTGGAGCTTGGGTTGCTTTTACCATGTCGGGATGCAAATGCCTTTTGTATGGCGCTGGCCATACCGATTTGTTGGGGACTAAAGGAGAATTCATTTGTGGAGCGCCGTGGTTTTGAGTTGGTGCCCGATCTTTTGGGCCGGTTTTGTTTGTATTTGAGTTATATTTCTCGAGTCCTGATCCATGATTATTTCCTGTTTTTGTGGGATTTTAATTGTGCTTCCAGACGACGCCGTGGTTTCTGAGACGTCTTCCCTGACCAGGGGTCATTGTCTTGACTTGGCGCCATTGGGATCGTGCGCCTCGTGGGATGCATTGCTATCCGGTTGAGGATTGAGAATCCAGGGCTCAGGGAGGAGTCAGTCGAGGCCGGACCTCGACCTGATTGCGGGGTCATAGGCGCCCACCTCCTTTTTCCTTGATGCCCCTCTAGACCCGAGGGGTCGTGATGCCTTGTTACGGGCAAGTTTAGTTTCGCCTCACGTGGGGAGAGGCATGTCCACCGTAACCACGTGGTCGGAGCGGTGTGCCTCGTCGGGGTTGATGGGTAATTTGAGCAGGACCCGATATCCTCCCCAATCGACGTGGAGTTCAGCTATGCCTCATCGAGAGATGTCCCATAAATCATCGGCCGTCAAACCCGTCGGTCCTCGACCGTCTCCGTAGCGGTCAGAGGGCAAGATGCCTCCCCCCCAGAGGGGGTCAACCCGGGTGACTTCGAAGTGGACAACTCGAACATAGGGAGAGATGGTCGCGTTGTTCCACATCACCGATTAGAGCCATAGGGGCCCATCTCATCCTGCCCCTATCCCTTTGTGGCCTCGAGCCCTCCTAAGGGTCAGCCCAAGATTGGGTTTCCTAAGCACGACACTGGGTCGTGGTCACGGTTGGTCACCTCACATGTGGGCCTAGGGGCTTTTGGGCCTCCTTGGCCACGATGTGACTTATCGGCGTCCACTGCATGTGATCACGTAACACGCCTGGCGGTCATGATGACCGAGGATCACTCTACGCGCGAATCCTAGGGGCGGTCGACCCCCCGGATTCTCTGCTTCTTAATGGCGCTCTTGCGTGTTACGGCGTGTCGACTCGTTTCCTGAGGGCTTGTGGGGCTCATATTAAGGTGGACCCCGTGTGGGTGCGGTTCGCTTCCCTGATCACCGCCACATGAATAGTCCCTTCTATCCGAGCCGGTCCCTTACCTCATTCTCGCCTCCTATCACCGTTCCCACAATTTGAAGGAGAGACAGAAGGAAAAGGGGTCGAATTCATGAGGGTTACCTCTAGATTGTGCATGTCGCCGCTGTTGCCGTCTGCTCTATCGCTGCTGCCCCGGTTTTTGCCTGCGTCGCAAGATGGGAGAGTGGGTACCTTCGATGGTGACAGAGGCAAAGCTACAGCGTCTCATGGTGAAGGGCCTCCTTTCAACGAAGAAGGTCACTAGATGGA